TTGTAAAACTTTGTAAACTTGGTAAACGGTTGTAAAACTTTGCAAACTTCATAAAATCTGTGTAAAACTTTGTAAACTTTGTCAACACTTTGTAGACTTTGTAAAACATGTTTAAACTTTGTAAGCTTTGTCAACCTTTAAACTTGTAAAACTGTGTAAGAACTTGGTAAAACTTTATTAAGACGATGTAAAATTCGCAAACTTTGTAAAAGGGTTTACAAACCTTTTACGAAGTTTTGGAGTTCTTCAAATTATTCTTCAAAGTTAGAGCAACGATTTACACAGTTTTTAGAACGTTTACAAAGTTTTGTATTTTTACAAAGTTATACAAAGTTTACAAAACTTTCACAAAGTCTTAAGAATTTGTACAAAGTTTGCAACTTTTGCAAAGAGTTGACAGAGTTGTTGAATTACAAACAAACTTACAAAGGTTTACAACGTCTACAAAGCTTTTACCACGGGCCGTTCACTCACCACTCACGAGACAAACAAACCTATGAAATAGTCCTTTGGGTCTCGTATGTTGCCACTAACAACGCAAAAAAAAAACAAGACGTGTTTTATACCCTCTCTTAGTTCTGAACAACCAATTCTTCAGAGGTCCGCAAGGGTCAAAAGCACTTCTTCTGCGCTAATTCCCCCGAAGCAACGAACGACGGTCCCCAAGCAACTTAACACAAATTGTTCGACACAAAAGTATATATATATATAGAATGCTAGCAGCCGCTAGCACTTGCCTGCTGCAAAAGGAGAAACAACGACCATACATTGGTTGAGGAGGATCTCACTTCAGCACCACTACTCAGTGTTTGTTTTTTTCCCCCACTCCGCGGCACATGGACATCACCTTGCGCTTGAGTCTGCCCCGCGCCGTCGCTGCCTGTGTTTTGGGCGTGAAGGGTGCGACGAAACGTGAGCTGGAGAACCTCACGGGTGTCTTCGCTGAAGTGAAGCTGGAGGAACGACCACCGGCCACCGACCCGTTCGGAGCTTCCGTCGAACGGGCGTGCGTTATACGGGCTTTTCGTTGGCGTTAAGCGAAGAAGGTGCTTTCGAGCTGAGTTGGTGTTTGATGGCTCGTACTTTCGCCAACTTCTTGAGGAGTGCTATATGGTTACACATAAATTTCAAGGTCCACTCGTACTCATTCAAAAGTCCTTGCAAGGCACTTGAAAAGGACACATTATAGTGGCTTACTGGCCTAAGCCACCAGTGCGTGCTAAGCTGCTATATTTATATATATATATATATTGTTCCTCCAAGGCCAGGGTGTTTCGAGTTGTTCTGGAGCAGAGCGTCAAGAATACCATTTGACCAATGCTTATCGTGCGGTAACCGGAAGGTATGGGGAAGTCTTTCATCAGGGGTGCGCTAGTCAGTGCTTTGCTCGTGGCGAGTGGATACCTACTGGATATGCAATTAAGATATATTAAGATCAATTAAGATCAGTCTCCTCCTGAGGCACGTTCATCAAGCAAGTAAAGTCCCAAGAAATTGGGCACCACATCAATCCAAAAGACAAATCGGATCGCTGGAAAGTTCTGGTTTGAAAGCAAGCATAATGTTGGTGACTGCATGTCGGTTGAGTAGCGAGTGGTGTTCATACAAAACCCATGGAAGGCGATAAACAACCAACAAATCTATACGAATGCCTGGGGGTGTCGACGGGCAACTTCCACCTCCAGGGTTGGCCATGGCAGAACAATCTTTTTTATTACTTTCTCAGGTCTGGCAGGCTTAGGGTGGACAGTGGTCATTCCTCAGAGTGATTAGAACCTGATACCATTTTGGCTCAAGTGTGATCCAAACTGGCAGGTTCTTCTTTTTGTTCCCACCCCAAATTTTCAATTTGACCCACCCTGATTGTAGACCCTCTGTGAGGCCCTCCCCAATCTTGAAGGATGCCTAGTCATCCGGGGTCAGCGTGAGCCACACACAGTTGATTCCTATCCAGAGTACTGGACAGTGCCCCCATGAGTGCAGGGGGGCACGGGTGATATCTGGGGTGACCAGATGATGCCCGGCCAGGGGTGCCCTGGCAAGCAATCGACTGGTAGGGAAGTGATCCCTACCTACCCAACGCAAATAGCCTGTACGACATACAAGCTTCGGACCCGACTATGGTCTCGCGAAAAAGTGCGGAGTGCGCTTCACAGGATAGGATCCTAACAGTCTAGGAATGATACAATGTTGATCGATGCCTCCACAGCACCAGAAGGGGCTTTGTACGCAGGATGGCAGCCTGCAGCTTTCTGGCAGCACGGCCCAGGTAGAAGCGGCTCAGCAGCTTTTGACTGAGAGGGTCCACTTTCAGCAATTCGAGGTGCCCCGGGACGCAGCCAGAGCCATCTTGGGCAACTCAGACCGCAAGGACAGGGTCATGAAACGCGCTTGGTTCGAGGGCCTCCAGACATGTTCAGAGCAAATTGAGTCAGACAAGAGTTTGATTCCATGCAATTTCTAAAGGACTGTTGCCATTTGGAGTTGAGTGTCCATGCGTGGCTGTGCATTTTCTCCCGGCATATGGGGGTACACCATTTCCTGGATGCGATATGTATATATATATATATGTGTGTATATTATATATATATAATATATATATATATATATATCGTGATATACATATATATATATATCGTGTAAACCGTATAAAGATATGACATACATACATACATATATACATACATATATACATACATATATACATATATACATACATCCATGCATCCATCCATCCATCCTTCCATCCATCCATCCATCCCTACGTACATACATACCTACATACATACCTACATGAATATATACATACATACATACCTATCTACATACATGCATACATACATACATCGTATACCGTATTATATACCCGTACGACGTTCATGATAAGGATGTGTTGAAAATTGTCAGTGATCAGTGTGACTATATAGTTGCATTAGAGGTTCTTCCGATTGCAGGATTCTTGTGGGAGGACAATTTGGTACCTGTGCGTAGTGGGTGATGTGGGTGGGGGTTAGTATATGGGTCCCCCCATTCAATACCCACCTTCACTGAACCATAAGGTACAATTTGGATTCTTCAATGAACCCCTGACATCAGATCAAAATCATCCTGAGGTGGATCGTCTCGACGTATATATAGAAAAGTTTTGGTAAAAGAAAGATAAAGAAATCAGGCAAAATTGAAAACACATCGATCAGACACACACGCACACACACACACATATATATATATTAGATAACATATATGTTGAATGTTTTCACACATATATACATATATTGAAACAATTACATTTATATACACAAGGTATATATTTTTTTCTTCATAGCGGGGTACATGTCCAGTACCTTCCTGAACCCTATCACGTCAATTCTGACGCGACAAGAAACAGTTAATATCCTTTTTCATTCAGACCCATCTTAAAATAACACAGTGAGGAAAATGTTTGAAGTGTTCTAATGCGATCAAAGTATGTTACTGGAAAAAATCTGTGCTCCAAAGGTCCCTGGTATTGGCTCCCGCTTTTGCTCCCAGATCTTCCCAGGTGAGCGCGGCTCAGTGCGGCACGAGATCGAAGCGACCACCGGTGCACACCTGTGGGTGGAACTCCGCGAGCAGACGGCCCTCGTCCAGGTGGCGGGCAACGTATCAGCTGTGGAGCGAGCTATCACGCGCCTGGACAGAGAGGAGTCGGAGCGGAGTGCACGATCTTCGAAAAAGGTGCTGAAAACAACAAGGCTCTTTTTAATCCCCCTCCAAGAAAGGACTTGACACAGACCATCTCAGAACGGAATGAAGAGGAGGGTGAAATGGAGGATATAGATCGATCCATCATAAGGAACGTGCACTTCACGATCATACGCCAATATGATATTTGTTCCATCAAGGTCGTTTCCCAGAGTGACTTCCTAGCGTCACAAACCCGCAGTTGATTTGTTTGTCCAATTCTTGAGCCACAGCCACATTTCCTGGACCAACCCGGATTGCACCAGCAAGTTTCTTCTCTACCAAAATATATCAAAATATCCTTACAAGGAATTGGTTTTCTTTGTTCCAGGTCCAGTTGACCCGGTTCTTCAGATGGTTCCTAGATTTTTGTCTCTTGTCTACAAGCTCCTGTGAAGACTTCGCCGGCAAAGACTTTGGACATTGGAGATGCTGTGAACACATGCTGGTGGACTTGGGACATCCGAGTGGTTTGAAGCCCAAAAAGCTCAGGACTTTGGATTTCAAAGTGGTCCAAGACTGCCTTCTGCAGCCGCTCTTCGCCGAGCGTTGGCTCCGCCAGGTGGCGCGGCGCTTGCGCGAGCTGCTGGCAGCGGAGGGGAAGTCCTCGCAGTGTCGCATCTCGGTGGAACGCATGGAGGACCGAGGTGATGCGAAGATGTTAGCCAATGCGAATGGTGGCCGAGACATATAGGTTAAGGGCTGAGATGGGTTTCTGGTTGGCCCAGAAAATGGTTTGTTAGAGTTATATAGAGCTTCGTTCTCCAATGTCCCCCATGGTGCGGTTTCGTGGATGGCATAGCCCGTTAAAAGAAGACGGCCCTGCCTGAACCATAGTCAAAAGACTTGAAGGCGAGGTATTGAAAGATAAGGCAGATGTTTTTACAGTGACCATGTGTTAAAAAGATGTTCAGCTGATGTTGCTGCATATGCATATAATATAGTTACTTATCACACTAGTATATATATATATAGCAATGTGCCAATCAAACAAACCTTCCGTCCAGGAATTAACATGTCCAATTTCCTATCAAATGCAAGCATGATCTTGGGTGTTTCGCAGGATCGGGTTGAGATGAAGCTCATCGGCCACCGTGAAGTGGTCGCCACTGCCAAAGTCTTGGCTCAGGACTGCCACTGGGGAACAAGGACGGCCACTGTGGCCACTGTTGGGGAGCATCACCAGTACCAAGATGTTGCCCAACTGTGGCCAGTAGTTTTGGGGGTGCCAGACTTTTATTACACATCTGCCACTGTCCTTCGGGTAAGATTGCAAGACTTGCGGCTCTAGCCTTTTGGGGATGAGATTGATGAGCGTTGAAATGAGGCTTACCGCAAAGATGCCATGGAAACCGCTGGAGTAGACAGGTGCAGTTGGATACCTCGAATCAGCATGAATCAGCAAGAAAGGGGCCAAGGAGAGACCATTTGCCATTAACCATTATATATGTTTGTTCATCCTTGGTTTTGCCACTGTTGGGCTTCCATGGCGTTCTTTCGATGTTTAACGCTCCATGCTTTTCAGCGGACCAGGACGAAGTGGTCATCGAAGAGGTTCCACTAAGCAAGGCTGATGCCTTGCGCTTGCTCCAGGCCTCGCAGCTGAAGGCGTTGCGGCAGATGACGGGCGCCACGATTGAGGTCTCAGTGGTGCCAAGTGTTCTGCGCTTGGCAGGGAATCGGGGAATGTTGGAGATCATTAAGAAGCCTGGAAGACTTGGAAATGCTTTTTGTGGCAAAGCAAGGCATGATATCATTTGGGCTGTTCGTTTCAAAAGCACAGGTTTAAATATAAGGAAAAGATTGTATGTATCTTAGATGTTGGATTGTTTATACGTCCAGGTTTTCACAAAAGGGCCTTCGACTAGATGTCCAGTGATTTGTCCCTTTCGTAAGTCCGAGGAAGGAGTTAGGCAAGGCCGTAACGCCGGTGATTGCAGCTGATGCGATCCAAGCCACGTCGAAGCCACCGGAGATGGTGCCCAATCCGCTTCCTGTGAAGCCGGCGAACGCGGTGCCCGAAGAGAAGCCGAGGATCCTCATTGATGGCATGGACGTGCCTTCCCTTCAGTATCCTTCAATATAGGGGGCACGGATAGGCACGGTATCTGCTTACATGTCTTTTGCTGGTAATTACAGGGTTGGGGCATTTGTTTGCTCAGTGCTTCTTTATTTTGATATGTTTCGCTCAGTACGTCTTTTGGTCACCTACGCTCAAAGACGCTCGATATGGGATGTCCAGGTATTGACATAGTAAGCAAAACTCGTTGTTCGTACGGTTTTCCATGGTGCATTTGCATGTCCATACATTCCCCCCTCAAGCCGTCATAGAGCGGCTCTTGGTGATACGAGGGGTGATTCAGGAAACATAAAAGTTTAAAAAATTGAACTTTGTATATGAGGTTGGAACCTAAACTAGTTGTGGGGAGTCCAGATCTTCATACCGGGCATAGTAGTTGCCACTTTCTCTTTTGACTTCGAAACTGTTGTCGCCCATGCAAGCCTCATGCTTCTGAGAAAAGCGGTTTCAGAAACAACCACCACGTGGCCACAAAATTCCGGATGTGTCAACTGTCATAGATTCTCCATTGTACTTCGAAAGTCAAGAGTGTTTCAAGGGACTGAGCAAACCACTCGGGCTTTCCAGGTGTGGAAGACCTGGAATGGAGGAGTTTGGATCCTGGTGACTTGTGAGCCTTCTTCATTTGCTGATGGCAGACGACGGAGATGACAACCCAACAGACACCCAACATCCTCAACACAGAACACCTTTGACCACCACCCGGTCACCGTCATTTGGGTCATTCTTCACCGCACTGCGCCTAGGTGCTGCACTTCTGCAACACGCCTTCCGCGCCCTCCGCACCCGCTGCGGCCTGGGATCAGCTGCGTGCCGCGGCGGAGCAGCTCCGCGCAGGCGATGGGGCGCTGCGGATCTTTCTGCCAGAGAAACTGCTCACCGAAGCACCGGCCGATCTTCAGACATGTTTGGTGAAGGCCGAGGATCCGAAGCTTGGCCGGCTGAAAGACATGTGTTCATATGGTTTCCACATATTGGGAGTTGGGGGTGTTGCCTTGGGGCCCTTTGCAGAGAGACTTTGTGTCGAAGGTGCTTTTGTGTGCGTATTTTCTATTGTCCCAAGTTTCTATGCATGCTCGACATTGAAGGAAGTCCTACATTCTCAGCGCAGCAGAAGTTCTCATCCAGTCAGGCAAGAAGTGCTTGATCGTCAGCAATGGAACTGGAGCCTCATACAATCAGGAGTGGGTCTCGAAGTGTTTAATGCGATACACCTTTCTGGATGCCAAGACCTTTGTTCCTGTGAGGAAAACATCTCCCGCAGCTGACAAAGCCGCGAGTTTCGTTCACAAGCGTTCCATGTTTGTTGGTGGAGTCGTTGAGAAGAAGGAGCGCTGTGTGGAATGCACCAGACCTATTTGGGATGGACATCCCTCCATGAAGTGCGGCAAGTGCCGGGGTACGCTCCAAGACACAACAAGTGAAGCGCGGCCGTCAGATGTCGCAAAGCGAATGATCCTCTCTTTGACCGGCATCCCTGTGCCAAAAGCCCCAGGAGTGACTCCCCCAGCAGGTGGGCGAGAGGCGTCACCGAAGAAGGGCTTGGTCAGGAAAGAAAAGAAGGAGAAGGAGAAGAAGGAAAAGAAAGACAAAGAGAAAAAGAAGAAAAAGGAGAAGAAGGAGAAGAAGAACAAGAAGGACGACTCCAGCAGCTAGAAGAAGGAGAAGAAGGTAAAGAAGAAGAAGAGCAAGAAGGCCGACTCCAGCAGCCAGTAGTAGTTGTTTCATTTGTCAGCACTGACTGGTTCTCCTTGCCTTCAAGACAGCTACTTGCGATGTGCCGACCTGCTGCATTGTGCGCCGTCGAATGGGTCACGACATGACCTTCATTAACACCTCGGAATCTGGGCTTATTGGCTTGTAACTGTCGCCTCAGTCACGGAGTTGCTGACAGTTTGCTCATGCTCCGCTGAAGATCCCCTGCCAGGCTTCAGCTGATTGCAGCGGTCAAAGGTTTGGCGTTTTCCGAACAGCACAGTGCCTTGATAAAGAGGTGTGAAGAGCGTGCAGTCAGCCTGTAGGAACTTGAGCCCGAGACCATGGAAAAGAATCAATCACCCGCAAAGCTGCCTCAGTAGAGCAAAAGGTGTTGGAAGAGGCAACAGTCCAGTTTTCCATACGTCTCAAGCCTAAAGATGAGTGGCCCAAACACAGGTCCCTCCCCTCCGTTAAAAACCCGGCCACCAGCGCGCTGGCGCTTTCAGGTCCTTGCGGGAGGTGGAACACCGAGCACAGACGTGCAACACTCAGTGGATCCCAGTGGTATCGCTCAGCGGGAATTCAAGCCACCAGAGGTCAAAGACCACTTGGGCAACTGGCAAACTTGGTCCAGTTATGTAACTTTTGGATCTTTTGGTGGATGTGGATCCATCTTGCGGAGACAATGAAACTTTCATGAGCATATGAGAGGAACTGCCACCCTAGCCCCCTACCCAACACAGAGTAAGCCAAGGATGGAACAGTTTCATGTCAAGATTGTGAAGATTGTGGGACAGGCAGTAGTTGGCGGCACTGCAACCGACAACTCTAGTTCGGCTGCGGTTTGGTGCCTCCAACTGGTGCAGTTGAAGAATCGCAGGCCTTTCCAATACTGGAAGCTCCCTTTCACGGACGGGTGGTGGAACGGGATGGAGAGGTGACCGCGGGGACCGCTGGCCACATCGCGGGCGGGGGGGGGACGGGGGATACGCTTGTTGCATTTGCAAAGCCCACAGGCTCCATCTGAGGTTATGTCTCCTAGTATAGCGATGCCGATACTAGTAGCTTCTTGTTCCTAGAAGTAAGGCCAGGAGCCCCTAGTAGCGTCCTTGCTCCTAGTAGCGATGCCCTTTGCTCCTAGTGGCGTCCTTGTTCATCTACAAGAACGAAGTGAACAACAGGCTGCAAAAGGAAGGGAATGAGGTTCCACCAAGAAGTATTGTCAGATTCTGGACGCTGAGGGCGCGTTGAGACATGACGCAAATACACTTAATGCCTTTGACCCCTTCTGCAACCGATGGGAAAGGACCAATGAGTTCATTTGGGACCGTCTTTGGCCATTTTGGCAAGCTTGCTACCAGTAGAAGTGCCGATGGACAATCTCAATCACTGCATGGCACAAGCGATCCTGTATGCAGTTGGTTCTTGCAGTGAGCGAATGATCACCAGTCACTAAATGGCTATACTAAGGGCACATTAGTGAAGATAGGCGCGCACCCTTTCTTTAGAAATAGGACTTGTATGAAGCAAATGACTGTTTGGAGCCCCACTGGGAGGTGAGTTCAGATGACGGAGTACCGTGGGCATCCATTATCATCCATTATTTGTTGATCTTAGGCAAGGATTGTCCTATAGAGGGAAGCGGGATGTTGCCTCATGGAGCGTCACACGTTGGTTCCCTCATGGATTGCCACACGTGGCTCTGTGACAGGATGTTCTCATCGAGCGTCAGCGAGACTTTGTGGAGACTCTTGGCGGATCCGCTGGGCCTTTGGGTTTATTTCCAAACTGATGGGTCTTAATTGGCATGCTGGGCATGTGAAAGAGTGATACATTTATTTATCCTCTATACAGAACCTACTCTACTATAGATAGATGACATGTTTAATCCGCGTAGCAGACGACACCCCCTGGTCTCCTCAAAAATGTGTAGGTGGACTTGGGCAAAAGGCCTTGGGGCAGGGCAAAGGAATCAAAGCCTGTCACCCTCAGTGTTCAATGCTCATTTGGAATCCCACATTGACCGTCGGGTTTGGGGGTTCGACGTGGGATCGACTTATATCTTCATTTGGTTGCACCACAGCTGGCTGCCCCTTTAATGTGGCGCATGTTCACTAAGCGTTCTTTGCCCTTGTAGCTGCGCGGTGGCTGCTTTCGTTGCTTACTTCGAGCCACAGCAGCCCTGAGCGGATCTCATTCATTCGAAGACTTTCCCGAGCATTTGTAACCATCCAGCGGGCCGCTCAGGAACATGAACCTCTTGAATGATGCTTTGAACAGGTGCATCCAGCAGGACAGGCTTCAGTTGTAGCCTCTTGCGTTGCCGACACACTTATATAGCAGCCTTTATATTTTAGATTTGCACCTGTGCTCCGGTTCAAGGAGGGGTGCGTGATCGAAGGCTGCAATGATAAGTTATCCTTGGGGTATCATCTCTCGTTGTCAAGCTCATATAGAGTCATATATATATATATACACATACACATACAAGCTCGATTTTGGCATTCAGCTTTTGCCTTCAAGCCAATGGCAAGTCTTCATGCGTTGGCAGGCGCTCGCAGATCGGAAAGAAGCTGATTTGGAAGAGCTGGAGAATCGAGACTATGCAAAGTGGATGCCGACATGCTTTGAACAGTAGCTATGAACATCCGCTCCTGTATACGACTCTATGATTTGTTATATTTGCGTTCTCCATGTAATTAAGCAATGTCGTTCCGATACTTATCAAGGCTCTCCTCCCCTCACAGCTCCTGAACTGTTGTCCAAGACTCTTCAAACCGGACATGCCTTTGTGGTTGCAAACACCTAGCCATTTACAAAGGTTGACACTCTCATCGGTGGTTTAATTTCATGGCTATGCAGATGGGATGAGGTACGGGAGAAGAGATAAGGATAGAAGCTCTGCATAGTTGGGATGTTGGTTGTGTCATGGTGTGTCAGCTTTTCTGCTTCTAGGCACGATGACCCACGCCCTGCTTGGCTCATAGGCGTCATAGCTAGCATTGTCGGGACTGAAGAAAAGTCGCAGGTGTATGATTCTCATGGTTGCATGTCAGCAGGGCCGTATTACTTTTGAGGTCGGCGCACCCAGTGGAGCGCATCAAGCAGTGAACATCAAGAAACAGCATGGAAGGACGCACGTCAAGATGGCATTGCAACAAACACGCTGCAAGCACCCATGGTAGGTCTAAATCATGGCAAATCAAGAAGGTGACACGCCGATCAAGGAGTCATGCATATCTGAGGCGGGCTGCACCAACTCGGGTTGTCAAGGGCTGCGGTTCATTTACGCTTTCAACCCAAACTGGAGCGGCCACGCGCGGCGCATTCTTGTCAGGTGTTTACACTCTAGAGAGTCCAAATTGGGGACACAGATGGTGGATGGGATCTACTGCGAGATGTATACCAAGGGCAGTTTGCCAGTCATTGGTTCTCAAAGCCGTGGGTCCAAACTGATGAAAACTAACTTGGCGGGGTGGTCCACTTGTTGGGCGTGGTTTGATTTAAATCTATATATTGATACATTTACTGTACATGCACTTTAAAGACAATCCAATGGTGATTGCCACAAGCAGTTCGACTGGAGTCGCTCAGGATCAGCGCCGGAGCAGCTCGCTTCCCTGGCATGATTTTGTTTCAGACACTGTTCATTGAGGCGAGGAATTGAGACCCGTGTATGTCATGTATCGGGCTTCCGTATTCCAAATGCTGTGACACTGTGGTTGATCTTGCCGTGCCAGGGCATCTATCGGCAGCAAAGCCATGGGCTCAGATGTGGGCACTCCATGTTCATCCAAGGAGACTGGTACGAGGGCTGAACGGGATTTGCGCTCCAAACACGGAAATCCAGAAGGGGGTCGTTCTTGGCAATGCTCGTTCTGGTGGATCGATCCGGACCCCTGGCTTGCCAGCAGCTCGATGGAGTGCAATCCCCATAGCCAACTTCCACCGCCCAAGAGCATTGCATTTATATAGATAGTGCAAGTCTTGTTGGACGGGGGTCCTTTCTTCAGGTGTTCATGGTCATTTACCTGTCCAAAATGCACAACAGCGGGAAGGAAACAGGCTGTTTCTGGAGTTCAGACATGTTCAGACCTCCAGATGTTGACCTTTGATTCTACGTGTCCGTTTGCTGCCAAAAGCATTCTTTCGGTCATTAATTTATGGCTCGGACAGCCGACCCATGATTTACCAAGTTTGAGCTGACAATTCTTGCATCCTTCCGGAATAGAGTGCCAATCGGATGTGCCAAAGACCCCAGCCTGCGGGTTTTGGCAATTACTTTGCCCTCGCAGCTGAACTAGCTGCCTAATCCTACCGGAGAAACACATGTTGATCCTCAGGTCGACTTCTGGGTTTTGCCTGCTCAGGCTGACACATGCCGGCACTGCGAGGCTATCTTGGGCAAGAGGTGCGCACATGTGCATTTGATTTGCATGAGGAGCACGGTATTTTCGACAGTCTTTGTGCGTGTGGTTTTTGGGCTAACTCAATGCTTCTTCTCTCATTTCACCTTCCGGATGAGCCCATGGGAGTTGGCACATGCTCTTCAACTTCGATTCTTGATTTCCCGTGCATGTGAAGTCCAATCAAGGCAAGTGCTGGTAAGGAGGGGGCATGTCTTCGAAGTTTTTGTTGTGCTTGCTTTTTCCATGGCGCAGCGAAGTAAACAATGACATCACGGGAACTTCTCCAACAAGCGGTGACAATCAATCAGCCCTCCTTCCATTTCGACGGAGGCTTTCCAGCAGCAGTAACAGAGACTGGCTGATTGGCATAACTGACACCGCTCCAGATGAATCTAAATATTAGAGATTGTTTATTACCCCATCGGAAATTGGAAGCTTCTCTTCGCACACCTCTGCTAGAAAGTGACTGCTTCGCACATAATCCGCATGGTGAGGCACTTCAATCCGCGTCACCAGTGCCAGAGTCTCAAGAACTGAATTCGATGATCCTGTACGCCGACACTGACGGAGGGGTTTGTTCAACGGTCATAGCGGACGGAAGCGTGGAAGAGTTGGAGATCGGAGTGTAGATAAAGGATCAAAAAGGAAGGTAAGGGACTCTTTATTATATGAATGAGGCAAGTGTGTGTGTGTGTGTGTCACAGCTGGTACCACTAGTTGACGTATTTGTGCGCCACCCTGACAACAGTGGAAGCAGGAAAACCTCCTGATGATATTTTTGGGGCGCGGCGGAATGCCTTACAAAAACCCATCAAAGCTCCAGTGGTGGCTTGGGATGAATGCTTCAGTGAGACGAGGTGCTTGCAAAACAATGGGGCACTCATCAGAACTTGTCACAACATGTCACAACAAGAGACATCTTCTACATAGTTGTTGGTTTGCCTTGTGGGCAGCCAGGTAGGCCATTCATGAAAATTTCAGGATCCAAGGGTGGCAGCTGAGAATCTCTTGGGCCCAGAGCCATTCCTCATTTTCCATTCCTTCCAGCCTCTTCCAGGTCGCTTGTGCTGTGCTATGGTTTGTGGGAGCTGCTCCCCCAACCTGGTGCAGCTGGATACTGGGCAGCCGACCCAACGAGCCACTTGACAGGAACCCTTCTCCCGTCTCCACCGTCTATATATAGTGATGCAGGATGTCGCAGGATTTTGATCCACCAATTGCGCGGTGACTTGCGGAGATGAATTTCGTGACACTCAGATCCTTACAAACAAGAATCCATCCACACATGTTGTGATCACTTCTATGATCTTCATTGTCCACCAGCTTGTTCCTTCTTGTGTTGAGGTTTGCAATCCTTGCCGAGCACTTAGACTTCCACTGGGCATCCAGCTGGTTTTGGACAAGCCAGTGCTGTTCCGTTTGACTTCTTGTCTCCATCCATCAAAAGGGCTCGGCTAGGGGCTATTGGAGAAATGGAGCAGGGAAATACATCCTACGGTGAAAACCCTTGAAATGTCCATGACTTGTTTGTTCCGTGCTTCCCTGCCAAATCTGAATCCTGGATTCCTGGGAGTGCTCATGGTGGGTGATCCTTGTCGGAATTTGATGAGTTTCCGCTCGACTGCAGGTTTTGAGACTCACAAGCGGTTTGTTTGTGGTTTACGCACGAATGTGGCACCTCCAAATGCAAAGTAATGCAAGCCTTGTTGATCACAAATGAGATAGTTTTTGAGATGCAGGCTGTTACTATATACAGGTATTAAAAGTCGTCAACTTGCTCAGATGAGCCTATAATGAAAAGCAGCAGAGGCCTTTGCCCTTGGAAGAGGGACTACCTCCTTGGGTTGTTCCATTGTTGGGCAGCGCAGCACGAAACTGCCGTCGAGCAACACCCATTTTCCAGTGGTTCCAGACAATGAAAAAAAGAAACATGTAGCCATAACCCTGTACCAAGTTTAGAGCCTCAGAGTGCAGGCTGGAGAGAAGTTCCCCACAAAAGTATCAGATGGGCCAATGAGACCGGCGAGGAGGATGTGAAATGCTGGAATTTCTTGCAGCCACATACTTTTGTCACACATCCTGTACTGTAAATCAGGAAGGGGCTGAAACCTCCTCTTCCTCACGGCGTATCAAACCAGGAGTTTTGAGGGGAATTGAACGGGCGGAAGCTGGGCTTCAGACTCTTTCCAAAGAGATCCGTGGTCCGTGAGCATCTTAAGGGAGCCTGTACCACAGGGTCTCAACGATGCCACTTTGTCTTCTGCCACCTGAAAAGAGTGTTCGTGTTTGTTTTAAAGCCCGCTCTTACTTAATTAAGGGCTGGACGCTACTTCAGAAGCGCTCACACCAGTCATTTGGTTTCTATCAACATCGGGCACGCTAGGAATCATGCAAAGACGCTTGCAGGAACTACATGCATAACCAGCATGACAGAGATCCTGAAAAGACGAAGAAACTGTTGCACCGCTGCCGTTGCACACGGGGATCTGGTCGGTGGCCCCAAGTAAGGCTTGTGTTGTCTCCAGACCGCTTGGATCTTTCAGAAAGTACTTCAATGCAAAGGTCCTTTAGAAGAAAAGTTGAATGAAGTGATCAACCCAAGCACTACTTCACCTTCTGCGTATTTGTCGTGGTGTCTCAATGGGACGAGTCATGGACAAGCAGGCCGACCATGTCTGGCAAGAGTCCGCAAAAGGAGAGAGATCCTCAGCAAATCTTGTGGTACCTCAGATATCCGAGTTGCCTTCTGGCACGCGCACGGACGCTGCAGGTGTGCGCCTACACGGTGCATCGTAAGATCACCGCTTTGAGTCACCACCCGAAACGGTGACGATCTGCGGCAAAGCGTGGGCTGCATGATCTTACATCTCCTCCAAGCCAAAGCCAATCTGTCGACATGGTGAGGAAATTCCATGAAATTCCAAGCAGACAGAGTTCACAAAGACCAAGTGGAAGAGCTGAATGAGGATGCTGAGTTGATCCTCGTACTGCATGTTCCTCCAAGCATGCTTTACACTGTCCTAAATTTGTGTGGTGCTATTGTGGTCATGTGCCGTGTTGCCAAGTATACAATGTGACATGTGCAGGGGATGTGAACGGGTTGGATGGAGGGTTCTTCTGCTTCTCAGAATGAGCTGGACAGAATTGGGCCTTAGGGGCTCCAATGAGGACAGTGGCTAGCAGCGAAAGTGCGACCAATCCGCCTGCTCTACTGCAAGGATCTGCAAGGTGTTTAATTTATATAGCTTTGTCAAGTCTTCTTGTTCAATGCCCTACAGTATGTTCTTTTTTTTTTCCGCAAGGTTAGGCAATTTCGACACCCTGCCGGAGAGCCCTGTAACCTCTAGCTCCTTTGAGAAGTACGAGCCATTGGACTTGAAGCGAGGCAGAGACGCAGAGAAAACCAATGAAAGCGCCGCTGAAACCGATGGGGTCCATCAGTTGAGATCCTTTGTTTGTGGGATTTCTTTGCACAGAAAAAGCAGCAGGTGGCTGGGAGGCAGCGGACGCTCGTTCATCCTAATGTACAAGAGTTGAGGCCTCAAATAGATTGAACTCCTGTAAGCAACTTGCCTCCAAGCGAAAAAGCAATGCAAGCCTCATGATTCTTCAGGTTATATTTGTTGATGCTGGTTGATGCTGGGGCCATGCCACGTTGCTTCATTGAAGATTAGCAGAACCTACCTGGGAGGGAGGGAACACCATCTGGACTTTCTCCTTGGGCGGTGTTCCATGTTTGGCGAGCTGCGAGCTACGGGCCAGGTTGCTTTTTTCTCCCTGTCGCAAGTGGAGTGACAATATTGCAGCCTTCCCCAGCGTTTTCAAAAGCACCAGCTCAAGTGCATCTTCCAAGGCGTGGCAATTGTCACGCAGCAGTTGGATCTCACGTGCGGATTCCAAAGGCATAGTGTCCGAGCCGGCCCAGGATTATGTGGTACAAACTGGCCAACCAGCCGTATGACCACTACACAGACAAGCTAATGTAGCACCCACCTGTCACCTGTATATATATATAATTATATATATTCTCAAGATTTTGCAGGGGCAATTTTACCACCGTGTTTCTTTGGGTGGTTTACTGAGCTTCGCAACCACAAGTGTGATCAAACATGATTGAGAAGCGGAACTTTGCCCCAAGGATGCACATGACATATTTCTGCCATTACTGTTGCAATTGAACATAAAGGACCAGCCTGCTTTTGATGTATCGGGAAGTGAGTGGTAATCGACTGGTACATTTGCCGTCTCTCCTGTGCAACTGATATGTTGCGATGATTTCAGGGGATCCTGCCTCCATGATTGATGTTTTGCAGTGTCGCGGGTTGGTTGGAACACAGACTTGGTCCACACAGAGAATCAAGTGTGTTGCGCGGCGACGAATGGTCAGCAAGCCCCTCTCCATAAGGAACCTACCTGTCAGTGACTGTCAGTGGTTGACTTTGTCATCTTTGGGTGTTGGTTCCTGACATGGTCAGCAAATTTGCCAGCATCATAAGGCAAAGCATAGGCAAAGAAAAAATGAATAAGCAACAGACAGATAACACAGCAAGAACGGGCAGAACCATGCGGTTGGGCTAGTGGATCTGATAAAAAGTGAATAACAAATCCCATTCTTTGAAGGGAAAAGGATGCCTGTGGCTTGCAAGTTCCAACCGCCCGAACCCTCTAGGGAAGCTACACTCAGACGAACATTGAAGCTGTCCTGACAAGACCAGTCTCCAGGTCTAGACTAGTAGATTCCTTTGCTACTAGGAACAAGTGCATCGCTAGTAGTAACAAGTGCCTTACTAGTAGTAAAAAGAAGCTATTAGTAATTTATTTTTATTTTAATTCTAATAGTTTTTTGTTACTACTAGTAAGGCACTTGTTACTACTAGCGTGGCACTTGTTACTAGTAGTAATATAACAAGAAGCTACCCCCCCCCCGCGTGACCTATGCCGTGCAGCCAGTCTCCAGGTCCAGACTAGACCGACTTGCGCGACACTTGCGATCTCAAGCAGGCGAAACATGGAACACGGGACATGCGGAACATTGGTTACACAGAACATGCAGGACATACTGTATATAATATGAACAGATGCAGTATAATCCCCGCAATGCCCTACAAGGCCATACACCTTCCGCCGGCTCTGGCAAGGACAGGATGAGGAGGTGGCGTTAGCCTCGCGCAATGTGGAGGACATCACTTGAAGATGGGTCTTGTGGTGGGGTAGGCAATGGTAGGCATGTCCGACCAAGTCGATAGAGGTGGCTAAGATTGCTGGCCTTTACACCAAGAATCAGAGTGTGTCCCTGTTCTCGGACCACCACTGAGAACTGTATAAGTCACACATGGCGCTGTCTTGGTCAACCCGTCCGACAAGAAGAGGCGGCTATTCATAATTCATTCGTGGATTCTTGCAACTCGGGCTTGTTTTCAACGTTATCCAATTATCCAGTGTATTTTGGTTCCGCTATTCAATGCTGAATTTCTTGAACCACTGGATGTGCAATCCAAGACCTACTGTGGACTCAGTTCCCAACTCCAGCTAGAGAGGCCCACATAAAGCACCATAAAGCCACCCCTGTCTAAAGAAAGAACCCAACGGTTAGCCTTTCCTTTGCTTTCCTGGGTCCCTCTAGCATTCGCGGCCTTGAATCGGCCTCAAGCTTGCGGAGCTTGCTTTTCGATTGGTCTGAGATAGAAGTGGTGCCACAGGTCTGCAAATTTGTGGAATCCAACCGGGCTCTATAGGAACCAGAAAAGTATGTACTGTAACTGTAATGACTGTATATGTTAGTACGTACGTAAGAGTCCGCTGCCCCTAGCTGAAACTGATACCACAAGCAACACAAGGGATGTGAACCTGCAGCAGCAGGTTGCTTGGTTTCTGTCGCAGAGTTGGCGCCAAGTAGATTGACACGTGCATGTCCCACAAAGATTTTTTGGTTCATTATCATTCTGTTCTCTCAGGTCCATTTGGCACCTTGAACTGTATGGGACACGTTCTCCTTCTATTGCGGAATGTTATTCTGTTTCCGTCCAGCACAGCCTCGCTTCTAGGAGGCCTTGCAGAAGTGTGAGTCCTTGGAACCGCTCTTAGCCGAGGACGGGTCCAACGATGGAGATCCTGGGGGGTTTGGGGAGGTTCCGAAGAGGAATTCAATTTGATGCTCAGACCATTTGACCGGGTCAATGAACAGGTGCTGAATCACTCAACAGGTTCAACGCTATGGGTGTCTTTACCACTAAATTGGCAATTCGCTCCGAAAGGGAGACCGATGATGAAGTTGCTGGACACCTCGTATTTCAGCAAAAGCTTTGTTAAGAAGGAAGGTAAAGGAACCAAAGATGAACCTTCATTGTTCTGAAAGCGTAGTAGAGGTTTGCCATAAGGTGAGCTCACACACCACCTCACTGATTGAATATTCCGAGTCCGATCACGAGACTGTTCCATGGCCAGATGTGTTTGTCACGTGCCTCTTGCTTTTCGCTGGCCTTGTTGTGCAAGTCGATTTTCATTAACTAGAGTAACCATGATGAGCCACTTTGCTAAATCCTGATTTCGCTGGTCAGGAGCGCTTGCGGCTTTTAACAAAGGTAGAGGAGGCCGCGCCTTTCATGGGAGCAATTCGCTTTTTTGAGTGAGTCATCCCCATGGATGACCTTTGTGCGCTTTGGTTTGAAGCAAGGACCTGGGGGACCTGAGCTAGCTTGGAGATACTGTAGTCACTGTAGTCTGAATGAGGTGTTTGAAGGCATTTTGGGCTTGTATGGGTTACCAAGCTTTTGCTTTCGCAATGGACACGTGGCCGTAAGATGCCGTAAGTGATACTTCGCAGTACGGTCTTTAGATTCCGCGAGCCACCAGGATGACCACACTACCAGTCGCAATCTCGCAAGCAAGTTGACCCAACTTGACCACAATACCATATGCCATCATGTGCCCGCATATGCCGATAGTCTGTTCCCCATGACTATCATTGCAACAAGGGACTGGTCCCTGCCAACCGTCATCATTGCTTGGATGCTTGAAGCTGGGACACGTCGAACCCTGCAGGCTGTACTGTACAACAGTGGGTGTGAAAAATAAGTCTTAAGATGCAGTGATTTTGCATCAGTGTTCACTTCAGTCGGTGCGAAACAAAATCTTACAAAAGTTTCACACTTTGCCTCTTAGTTTTGACGTCAGATCTTCTACTGCCAGGCTGATAAGTCCATGGGTGCGTTTTCAATTGTCCATGATAAATTGTGCGTAGATGATCCAGGTTCATACCTAGAAGCACCACGGGTGAACATTACCGTCTAAAATTCTAAATGATAAGCATCATAAATAAGGAGTTTTTATTCAGCAAGATGAGGCAGGCAGGGGTTGTCATTCAGAAAGATAAACCCTCAAAAGTTAAGTAAAAAGTCACACGACGGTAGCCAGATTTGCATGCGGAGGCGGTAGCTTAAGTTTCTCAGTGATGTGACCATTCTAGTGAAAATGATGCGATGCACACCCCAAAAAACTTTAAGTCTTTGTTTAGCTAGATTCCTAAAAGGGGACAATGTGCGGCCACCAGCAAAAGGTTGCTTCCCGCCCCAGGATGGGAAGAGCCGCTCTCTTACAACATTTTGGGTTTCTAGGTCTTGGCGCTCTTCCAAGCTTTTTCACCCAACGTTGGAGGCCATCGCTATCCAAAACTCTAGGCTACTAGGTATAGGCTCTCTTCCAAATTTTCTTGCGGCAGGCTTCCGAGGCACTCTCGCGCCGGAGCCAGCCCAGCCAAAGCGCGGCGGCCACGCTTCGCCACGCTTCAGGGCTGGCGGATTCACGACTGGTTTAAAGGCTATGGATGTAGGAACGATCGAACAAACGCTACTAGAACTAGTGCAGCGTGTGTTGTTCTTGTTGTTCATGATATGTCAGGTTTGGGCCCACCTGTCAAGACTTATCCCTACAAACTGCTCATGTATTCCAAGCAAGTATTGTATATGACCAGCAAGGAAGCCATCACGCAAGAAGAAGGCTATTCTCCTTTTGAATGAGTTTTGTGCCAAAGGCTTGCTGGACTCTCATGCTACTACTGGCTATGCTCCAAGAAAGAACGACCGAAACACAGGGCACCCAAACATGGCAGAGCGAGGTGCTTTCTTTATGCAGGAGTTTGGAGTTTGACTCAGCTGTTCACTTAGGTCCTTGGCGATATATATATATATATATTATAAAGGTGGTCGAGAAAATGTCCGGGTGAAGCATAAATGTGCACAACTTTTTTGACTAACCCTTCGTTGGCAAGAGAGGATTTTACACAGGACACATTACAGTAGACTCTACTAGTACATGGATTAAGTAAATCAGGCGGCCTGGCACATTCGTGAGAGCGCCTCATGGTCCTCATGATCAGTGAAACTTCACCTTTCTGATTGAAAGATAGGCCTTCCAAACCAGATCCTAGGGGTGCTTTACAGCTGGATTCAATGAGCAGCCTGTCACAGCGCTTGTTCCCTCCTTTTCTCAGGATAGCCAGGAGTCCCGACCTTGATGTCACATCCTTTCAGCAAGGTCGTTGGATGCTGGTCCTTGTGATATCTCAAACAGCCTTTTGGGCAGGTCATTGCGGTGACGACAGGGCCTCAGCTTACCTGCCGTGGGGCTTTGGTCAACCGAATGTCCAGAGTTTTGGGGGTTCCAGATGTTCCAGCTGGTGCGTAATTCTCCCATCAACAATGTCACAATACATTGATTGGGCTCACCCTCCAAACTCAAGCATCATTTGGGCCCGCTCATGTTCAGACATTTGTTGTGATGCCCCTCATGTGGGAAAGACCAGCTTTGGCATCGATTCGATGTACTGCAGCCATTTGTAGCCTCACCCAGCTGAGTGTTTGGGCAAAAGAAAAGGCGATTGGGAAGCAGGCGATGGTGACCTGGGGCACGTGTCATCGCAGTCCCTGCCCACCTCACTGTTGCAAGTCTTGTCCCAAATGGAGCCAGATGAAAGCAACAAAATTGGCAAATGTGAGGTTTGCGCACAGCGCAGAAGGCGTTGTCAGACTAGGCTTGTTGCTGGCATGGTCCTCGACGTAGATGAAGGTTGCAGGTGAATGGGGTCGCAGGGACAGGCCGCATGTTTGCTCAAACGGTGTGAGTTTTTGGTGGCACCTGAAGTGAAGTCTGAAGTTTATAGTTATATATCCGTTTGGTGTGCGGCACTAGCTGCTAGCTTGTCAGAGCAGATGGGCCCTTGCCAAGGTTGCAGGTTTTGTTGGAAGAGGATCAGGGCGCTTGGACCCAATCCATATGTTGGGGTGCTTCCTATGGACTGCCACCCTGTCCCTTAGGGGTTTGCCCCACCACCCGAGCCAAGTCGGCAGGGAAAGGAAATGGAAGGTGAAGAAGGGCAAGAATACTTGAGCACATCTGCCGCTAGCTTCCACACCCTTTAGCACCGGCGGGCGGAGCATCGAAAGGGCGGGTGGCGTGTTCAGAAATCTGAACGGCGGATATTACAGTAGTGTAACGTGTATGTGCATATGGATGCTCATGCCCCAACTGCTCCCTCTTAGGGCCTCACTTGTCAAGTGATTTGGGAAATGTATAGTATAATGAGTTTAACTGTGTGTGATGTTTTGTGCGCTTCAAGAGCTCAAACAGGGAAATGTCCCAACTCTTAGTTCCGCAAACTCCCAGCAATCACCGCAAAGCTGAGCTTGTCCGGTGTATTGGGCCACATGTTATGTCAACTTCTCACTGGCATGTTTGTTGCCCTCCTTGGTGGTCGCCCAGGAGAAGATTAAGTATTTTCAGAAGCTATTGAAGACCCAGGCGGAGGAGGGTCAGCCAACCGGAGTGCGTGACGGCATGAAACACTCATGCTGGTACTCATGCTGTGATCGCCTTCATGAACTTCAATATACTGTATAGGTATATATATATATATGTAACATATTTTTCTTGGTGGGCCCTAATAAGGAAACCTTTTTGCCCGGTACAAAGACCCAAATCTCATACATGTTATGGATTCGGAGCTTGGGCTATTGAGAATACGGCTCATGGGTGCACGGTTTTAGAGCTTTATGGTTCATGCAGGTCCTTTATGGTCTAGAGGTGCCGAGGCGTTCAGAGAATCAGATGCGTCTTCCAAGGCATATGGAGCATGAGAGGTGTTGATATGGTTGGTGGAGTGGTTGGCCACAAACAAAACTCTTGAGCTTGCCACATACTGGTGGCTCGCAGCAGGAAGCCTCAAAGCTCCCAGAAGACAACCACCACGAGGAGCGCTTTGCATCTTCGACGCCCGAACGGATTGACTTTAGCTACAAGGATGTGGCGCCAGAGAGTGGCTTTGCTGTGATTGTGGGTGATGTAGAATTTAGAACGGAGTTTGGAGTCCGGTCGTCTTCCGGACCGGAAGTTCCTGCAAGGTCGACTGCGCTTTGGGCACAAAAAGCGGGTTTTAACATCGAGTTGGATTCTTGATCCGTGCATAATAGAAGAGGAATTGATTGAAGTCTGAAACATGCTTTAAGCTGGCTTGAAGGCCCCTGACAAGTGTGCAGGTGCTACATCTATAGACATGTTGTAATTAGGTACTTTGCCCAACAGTTGTGCACAAACTTGGAAAAGAGATGAAAAGAGATCACTTCTGTCACCCCACGTGAGATTCTTGTATCCTTCATTTCAATTTGAAGAAGTGTTTCTTGGTTTTGCCACATGGATGCATGCGAGAAGGCGAAGAAGATTGACGTAGCAGACGTAGCATGATTGTAAAAATAGCATGAGGGAGGAATGCATGAAATTCCGCGTGCATTGTCCTTTTTCATGTTTGGTGGTTTTCACATGTAATTTTGAGGTTGGGATAGGGTTCTGGATGCCGGATTGTTATCCCAAGCAGCCTGAAGGAACGTTAAAGAACTGGGCTTTTCCTGGCATGTTCAGGTCTGTTTGGGGAGAGGCCGACCTTCGCACAAAGTTCAATGGCTGGAGCTGCTAGCAAACCCGCGCAAACCAACCAACCACAGCTGTGAGGACGTTTGATAGGGGGTTGCATCAATCTGTCAAACAGGTTGATGTTTATACAACAAGCAGTTCCTTTTGGAAGGGATGGTGGGCAGGGTCCACGAAGTACCTTCAAACATGTATACCGGCCCATTCCTGAATTCATCAAAACCACCCACGCCGTTCCGGATTTGATAGGATCATCGTATAGTTTGGCACCCTCCGGTCACCATAGCTTTGGGTATCGATCTGGCCCGGCGAATCCAGCGCTTCAGGTGCTGCGCCTGGTGCTTTGAATGGTTCAACTGCTACGGCGGCCGATTCGGAGGAGGCAAGACGGCATCGGAGGAAATGGTCATGGCTGTGGCAGAATTAGTGGGATGATGTTGATGGCTGAGGCTGGAACTGAGTCTTTGCATTCTATAGGTTATGTGGTCCAGAAAAGTTCATATTTGGTGTTGTTGTGCTTACATTAGGTTTTGATGGTCTTGGATGAGTTGCTAATTATGTGTGAGCCGTGATCTTCCACAGGGAAGCGGGCATGAACTAGCCCACTGCCAATTCGAAGGTCAGACTTCAACAAGCGTGCAAACTACAACTTCCTGCCACTTGGCAAGTATTTCTTGCTCCGAGTTGTTATAGTTTGGGGCACGATGGGGCACGTTGCCTTTCAATGAGCGAAATGGCGTCCCGCCGTACAAGTACTTCGTTGCGAAAACGCACCCCTGCACCGAAACCGACCAATGTTGACAAACATGTCAACGCGAAATGTGGGCATACTACTCTCAAAACTCGAGGTGGATGATCTTGGCTATTTTTTTCAAAAAGCAATCGTTTGGGAATTGGCCCAGGAGTTCCAAGGGATAGGGTAAAGAGCCCATGTGTTGCAGGTTCCCCAACTCGATTGATTTTGCAAAACGCCCAGATCCCGTGGGGAACTTTGGCTTTTAGGGAAGCTGTGTCCTTTAGTTGGCTCCAGATGTGGGAACGGGGTCAACAAATCATGGCCTAGGTCGAGTCCATGCAGTCTCCATCCACACGCGCGACCTCCTCATCTCCACTCGGAGGATATGTGGTGATGGCCTTGGTTGGCTGAGGAAGTGAAACAGTCCCGATATGTAAGCTATTAGGAACAAGTGCCACGCTAGTAGTAACAGGTGCCTTACTAGTAGTAACAAAAAGCTATTAGAAACAAGTGCCACGCTAGTTGTCCAGATGTCCTGGAATCACCAGCTTTGTGTCCATTCTTTCGGGTTTGCCCAGGCGTCGCCCTCGGGGTCACAGAGACGTGCGGAGATCGCAGCCAAAGCCCGAGAAGCCTTCCAGCGCAGTCCGCCTGAGACGCCGACAGCCTCGCCAGGCGCTTCCGGTGTTCCGCACGGGCGCACTTGCATGCGCATAGGAGCTGTGGCATGATGTGAAGGTGGACGTGGTGGACGTGTTTTCAGGGAGGTCCTAGCAGAGCAGGTTTCCTGGCCTCGCGGCATGATGTGCTTTCCAGTAGACAACCCATGATGTGCTTTCCTTTGCAGCGAATAGTCAAGTGCATGGTTGGATTGAACTAATGTTCGTTACTAGAGTGAGCCCCAAAGCACTGCCTTGTTTGCAGAGCAAGCTGCATGTGTCGAAATGAGTGTTATCAGCTTTTGGCATGCACTCGATGGTGCCATTTGGCATCACTTCCTGCCTCCTAGCCAGCTCCAAAAGCAGCTGATAGGTTCTCGGAAGGCAGGTGGCCGGCGTACAGCACAACGTGACAACTTGGCGGAGAGGGCATATCAGAGACTCGGTGAGACTCCAATGTGCTCGTCTTTGTGATCCGCCCACGGACGAGATAGGAATCATGTCCCGGTGATTTATATAGCTGATTTGCCTTTCGTCTTTACATATATATATAGTTATGTATATATATAATTCGCACTACAGCATATATGTTATCTTAAGATTATTTTACTCCCTGGCTGGGGTCACAAACAAGTTCAGTGAGAGGATTGGTCACTGATCGGCGAAACACGGACCGGGGCTGTTCTTCAGTCTGTGACCCGACGCAGCGTCCAATTTGGAATGTTTTTGGCCTGGAGCTGACGAGCTAGTGTGTCAGGATGTGTCAGGCAAAGCCACAACAATGTTACAGTAAAAGGGTTGACAACTGAAAGTAACAAAGCGGTCACATTTTGACCCTGCCTCACGCGAATTAGCATGGCGTCATGGCTTGTGGGATTCTTGGGTGGATGTATCAGCAAAGCACCGAGGAGATATCAAGAGGCATGGCAGAATGACTTCTGACAGTGATGGGTTCCTTGGGCTTGACTAGCGCAGTTCCAAGGCACTCCACTGCTGATAGCTTTATATATCTGGTGAAGGCACAACACACGTTGAGCTTGGCCTCCCACCCTGCAAAAGATATCGGGGAAGCACATTATAGGACCTCGGTGGGAAGTCTACTGACTCCAAATGAAGCACAAATAACCCGCACCATCCCGCAACATTGGACTTCATGGAGTGTTGCAACATTTGGCGTTTTAAAACTGTAGTGACTAGTTTCAAGAAATTGCTCTAACACGGCTACAAGCTTTGACAGGTCGAAGGTGTTCGGACACCACGGCCGCTGCGAGGCCTTTTAGCTTTGCTCTGTGAGGCTGAGGGGCCTGGCACCGAAGGTAGGCCCGGACCTGCCAGAGGCACTGAGGTGGAAGATCATGGAGAGGAGACCTGGCTTTTGGGAGTGCAGGGATTTGGACCTCCTAAACGATGCCTTTGTTGATGTATACATAGAGGTTTGAAAATTGAAAATACAACATGTATCGGTTTCTGTGACTGTGGAGTATTGTGTTCCCACGGTTTTCATGCAAGGTAGATGCCATGTGCAGCTCCAAGCTAAGTGATAACCACCGAGTTCCTAGTAGCGTGCTTGCCGCTCCTCCCAAAGGGGAGGTTCAGCGCAAGGAGGGCGGCCTTGGTCCCAAGGACAGGGCCTACTCCCAGAAAGACATAATACAGCTTGAATATGAGTTGAACCATCCCCCCCAAGAAAAAAACATATTTCACATATGTATGTTGGGGGGTTCGGGGGGCACTTCAACGTCGTTTGCTTTGTGCAACACAGAAGCCGTGGGATAGGGTGATCAGAGTATGATTCGATGTTCATGATTCAAGCCTTTGCGCAAGATGCTTGCGCGATGACTTTGCGGCAAAAAGGGGCTCATGCCTGCTTTTTCGCTTGTCTCCTGACCTGGGCCCTCCTGCAAATTGGCAGCTCTTGGCTGCGTTTCCTTTGGCTGTGTGTTCCGTTTTGACTCCAATCTGTTTCATTACTGTAGCAAAATCAAATTTTGATTCAAAAAGCCCACCAGTTATCCACTGACAAAAGGACAAACCAACTAAAAGGTCCCTGTTTGGCCCTGAGGTTCTCACACTTTCTCAGCCACCATGCAAGCCTGGCAGTTGTTGAAACGCAGGAAGACCCCCAAAACCCATGAGCTGCCTGGCAGGGTGGGACCCTGCAGGAATATCTCCTCAAACCACCCTGCCGGCCCAGTCCCGTGGCGTCAGCACCTTCATGTCCGCTTACAGCGAGGCTACAAAGGGGCATCGTCAACACCGGAGACGTTCATGGGTTCAATGAAATGTCATGTGTTTGTTGTTTTCTTTTTCCCTCTTTTGTGTGGTACTTTTGATGTTAAGTCTGGTTTTTGTTTTGGCTCCGACTGCTTGGACCATTGGTGGTCTTCCATGTTGAGACACATAGGATGAAAATCCGGGACAAACCTCATGAGGGAATACAAGGGGTTAGAGGTTGGGGTTGTTGGTTCAATCTAAGTGTTGGACTGTTTAACTCCAGACGTTGAAATCAATGCTTGAGTCTATGGTCATATTCCTTGCTACATCGCTGTTTGCTGGTCATGTTTGTATCAGTTGAGGTACCTTTGCTTGTGATTTTCCCGCCTCCTGATTGCAACTGTCGTTACAATAGTTTTTGCCCAATGCAGAGCAGCCAGCTTTGAGGGATATCAGGTGGAATGGTGGTATGTCCGTTGCAGTCATCACAAGAGGGTCAAAGGGTGGAAACAGAATATGTGGTTGAGAATGACCTTTTGTCATCATCATTTAGGAGGAAATTGACGGTGGGCCTACAGTAAATGCTTGCTACAGTGAGTGGATGCATGGATTTTGAGCAAGTGCCACTGAAGCGGTCAAGCGGAAGGAGTATCACCCCGATGCTTATATAAACAAAGACACTCATGTGCCTGTCACTTGTTGTTGATTACTTTCGTGGGAGGTCACCATAAGTCCTCCAAGCCACTTTCTACCATGAGAGGTGCAAAGTGGTTCCCACTCATGAGCACCCTTCAGCTCTTCAAGTGAGGTCGCTCTAACATCTCTGGAGGTGCCGGCAAAGATGACAAAAGGTATACTACAAGTCAGTCAAAGCCAAGGCCCCCTTGCTGTAGACCTATTTTGACAGGCGCCGGCTCGCAACAAGTGTTGTGTGAACCGCGAAGCTGGCTGTGCCTGGTCAAATTGGATATGGTCCGGCTGGATTTTTTGTCGAGGGTTCTGGCAGGACTCAGAGAACAACAGGTACCAGGGGACCAGTCTTCTTGTGTTTCTTTGGTTGCATTCCCCGGAGTCCCCCTGCCTGTTATAGCTAGTTGTTGTGGTTTATTTTGCTTAGGTAAGGGTTTGGGAGATGCTTTGCAAGCTGAGGGGTCACACACACTATTAGACAAGCCATGAAACTTGTTCAATTTAAAGAGATGCTCCCTGATCTATAGCAACTGAACTCTTTGTTGCGAGAGTGTTGGATTATGATCTATTTTTTACAACTTGCAAACACTTCTTTGCAAGATTTGATTCTTTCAGGTTGGCATGTTGATGAGTAGCAGGAGGTAAGATGAACCATGACATGATATGGTGATAACAAATTCGACCAGTTCTGTGCGGCCACGTTCTCAGCCATGGTCGAAGGAGTTCAGAACATCATTCAACTTCACTCTGCGCGGCCAAGCTGCACAGACTTGGTCACGCTACTAGTAACAAGTGCCACGCTAGTAGTAGCAGGTGCCTTACTAGTAGTAACAAGAAGCAATTAGAATTTTTGGCTCTTTGTGGCCGACTCTTTGACATTTACAACGGCCAACGACACAAGAGAACAAATGACACAGACGGGAGAACACCTTTTTGTGAACCACACACATCATCTCCAATTGGTCATCAGAGTTGTCATTGAGGAGCAGGTCCGGACCCCTGAACAAAATTCACTGATATTCAGCAGAACGATTCATAACTTTTAGCGTGTAAAGCTTTGGCGCCAAACTCAGCCATAGTGGACGTTCTTTCCCAGCAACCCTTTGATCCAGCTTGGCAAGCCCTTTATATACTGTATATATACTGTATATACAGTAAAATGCTTTTCAGCGTTGGAAGTACAGTCTTCAAGCAACGACTACTCTACCCATGAAAGGGCTTGACAGATGGCTTGCACCTCCGCCAATGTTTTTCCTTACCTTTCCGTCGGTCTCCGGCCGTGACATCCCTTTCAGGTGTGGCGCAGTGAGCTTTCCATGCAGCCAAATCCTTTTGGGTTGATGGATTCCCAGCTCAAGCAGGAACCCCCTGAGACACTGCCAAAGATCGGTGGATGAACTCAATTATAAACAATACTGTTAGAATAATATCGCGTAAGGACGTAAGGATAAAGGTTCTTGAGGGGGCTGAGGGCAAGTAACCCCTTGAGAAAATACATTGGTGTCGTTTGGCCAGCTTGGCCATGATTCGACACCCTGTTTAGGCCCGCCGGGAAAACCTGCCCAGCTTGTTGGAAGCGAAAGTCTTCCACCTCAGACCTTGCATGTCTTGAGCTACACATGTCTCTTGTCACTGCGCCAAGCAGCATGGTTGAGGAGGCATACATGGTCATGGTCCCAGCCTAGACTCTTTGGGGCCAAGAAAATGTCGTCTATGCCGATTCTTCTGAAAATCTCCAAAGTCCAAGAGGAAGCATCACAATTTGAGTAGGGGCCCCTGCCCTCAACCCTCGTGATCGGTTGACGAACTTGCATAGCTTTCCAGCCTGGCCTGGCTGTTCCGTGGCGCCGGCCCCAAACTGTTCGGTGCCACGTAAAGGGGATCGCCCTTGGTCCATGGCCAAAGGCTCATGGCCCTGAAGCAGGGTGTTTGACCGGCGGAGAAAAAGGGGCCAATTCCTGCCTGATGGAAATGGATGACAACTGGGTCCAGGCTATGTAGGTGGCTTCACTTCCACTGATTACCTTCTGCAAAATGTTTACAATCTCAGAGTAGGTTGCATTTTAAAGTCCCCCTCCACCGGAGTCGTCAATCCCAGACATCAACAGCTGCATCAATCTATATCCCACATAGACCAGGAAGTAGACCAGGATAGTCTCCAGGGGGTTCCCCCATCATCACTGATGTCCTCCTTGACCTGTCCTGCCGTGCCAGTATGGACAACCCTTCACTCCTGCGATTCCTGGCAACTTGGATTTGCAACGAGACAGCGAAGCTTCTGAAGAGAAAGCGATCTTACACTCCCTGAAACCATGATGGAAGTGGAAAATGGCCCCTTGGACTACCGAGTGTTTCTAGTTTTCTCCCCTGGCTTGGTTCTATGCGAGGGCAACAAGTCTACTAGAGCCACGTGCAAGATATGATGAAGGGATTCAGGGATTCCAAGGCTTTCAGGCTATCCCAATGCAACTTCAAGACAGCTTAATCAAACGTGCTGACCGACCGAACGAGCTGAGGTGGACATGAAAGGCGAAGCAACCTCCGGGAAGCAGCTTCGAGATGATATGATCACCTTCCTCATCGTTTGGCGGCCCAGTTCCTCCGGGCCGATCCAGGTGTTGAGGACATGTTTCCTTGTCGTGTTCTCGAAAGTAGTAGCAGTAGGGACTGTAAGGAAAAAGGGGCAGAAGTCACACAAGGAAATCCCATAAGATCATAAATTAAATGCCCATCCTGAAGGCCCCTGACAACTTGATACAATTTGCTTTTTGACTATCATTACCATTGGTCCCCCACAACCAGGGAAGAATCGTTAGCGGAAATCCATGCCAGGTTGCCAGAGATAAGAAAAGGTCAAACCTTTTGATGTTCTCTCGGAGTCCTTTTGAAGGAATTCTGAAGACTGCACGCAAGCACGTCCACACGCCCGCCGGCCCGCCCGCACGCCCGCACGCAGAACGAATCCGCTTTAATGCTAAGCCCAACTTACTGTCACCATGGGTCACTCGCAAGGATATTGTGGGGGTGAGCGGGCAGTC